GCTGGCTGTTGACTCCTTCTGTCACTGTTGGTATCCACTGGCAATTGGTAGGCCTAATGCGAATGCCTTTACTGGCCACGCATACTCTCATTCCCAGCGACACTATCTGTCGCCCTTCTTATCTTCCTCACTTCTGCAGCAATTCGCCGTATGCCTCATGTCCTCTCTGCGCAGATCCTGAGCTTGTTAGGACACACTCATTGTCCCTCCATCATACATTCTCCTGGAATATCTGTATTACTTACCTCCGCTGGCTTGTTGATGCACTCAGTGTCCCTATAGGCATACACTAGTGACTAAGCGTCTGATTCAAATGGCTATCTCTGGCCACTCATAGTCTCTCCTAGCACCACCATCCGTCGGTCGTCTGCAATTCGGCACTTCAGTTTAGAAGTAGCAAGTGGTCAGGCTCCACACATGCGATTACACAGTGCTCGTTAGGAGCCACTCCTTACCTCAACAACCTTTATTCCTTTAGAATATCTGCATTCAATCTTTCTGCTGCCCTACCGCCAACTGACATTTAGATCCCTCTCGCGGCAACCTATTAATTTTCACTTATTCTGCATTCCATATCGTAGTACGCCAGTTACTTGCTGCTCATACACCTTGCAATCACCACCAATATTCTAACACTCCTTGCTCTTCCCCACGCAACTTTTGGCTCATACCAAGCCAATACTTCGTACATTACTCACTAGTATAATGCTCTTGTTTCTACGCAGGCGTTAGTAATACATCTATATGGCTGATTCTATAGGATATTCAAAAGGCGCTTTCAGCATCATTATTGTTGCACAATGTACATGCTTTTGTTCAAGTCCAAATGCTGTAACATAAGTCTTTAACAATGCTCAACTCCATGACTGTTTTTGCGGTCTTCTCTCGGTTATCCCTCACTTTCCCTTTTCTCCGAGGTCCGGTACTTCTTTGAGATCTGGGATTGGACAGAGGAACAATTTCCGCCCAATACGGACATAACCACCGACTAGGACCTACATGGACCATGGCTGAACATCAAAAGGACCCAACTGCAACCACCAAAATCCATGTCCAGTATAGAGAACTGGACACGTCCTCATATTTTCATACAATATGCATCTGAAAGATCCAGACAACAGAAAATTTAATCCTTTGCTCACCTGGACGCACAATAAGAAGACTATTCGCGATGTTCCCCTCCTCAACCGGCCTCATCAATCATGGCGGCCCCGATAAAATTACCTGTCCAACTAACAGAGGAAATTAGGAGCCATTTGTCTGCGAATTACGAAATACGAAATCAGTCGTCAAACGGCTTTGCCAGTCATACATTAATGATCAAAATGCTTTACGGCAGTGTTGCAGGACGTGGTGGGTTTTCGCCTGGCAAGCGTTCTTCCTATAAAAAGCCACAAATGTCTGCTTAACAATACTGCGACGTGGCGGATGTGACTCGCCACTGAATAAAGTCACTGCCCACAACTACATACTGGCAAGTCGACTAGACTCATATTTCAACTCTTCCCGACACATGCAAGAATATGTTACACTCCGTCTACAAGCACTGTTACATTGCACTTATAGTGCCTTGACCGTTTCAACTACACACGATTGAACCCGAAGTATCGGCATGATACACAACTGCCTTTAAGCCTTGATCACGCCTGATTTGGTGTGTCTCAATGAATTTGAGAACAAACTATTTATTTATATGTCCAATTTGCTACTGCCACTGTTACAGTTACCATAATATGTCTGTACAGTTGAACATACCTGATCACGCCTCCATGGGCGTGTCTCGCATAGTCGAGAACAAAATATTTATGTACAATATTCTGCTCATTGGTCTAAAGTCAGGCGTGGTAGCTACGCTGGCCATTTAAGGTGTTCTGACGGCACGCTCCACCACCCGTACCTACGCGCTAATTTTACATCCTGGTCGCATATTCCGCTACTTGCTATGCACTTTTTATAACCTCATCTCATTGACCTACTAACAACGCCTGATACTTCGATTTCCACACAAGGCAACTAAGGCTTATGCCAGGTCAATTCGGACAACATTTGCTTTTCGCA